TTTTTGCTTGGCCCTTGCACGGCCGGGCCCCCCGGTCAAACAAGGTGACCCGGGAGGCCCCCGGCTGGTAGCCCATATGACCTACCTACCATTTCTGGCCCGAGTTGTGCTCTGTGGCTGTGCGCATCCAAGATGGGCTTTTTTTTTTTTTTTTTTTTTTTTTTTTTTTTTGAGCCATTCAACAAAGAGGACATATAAATTATATACATTTTGTCGGTATTCATAGCCTGCCGGGATGATACCATGCTATTTCTTGCAGAATGGGATGTGCTCAGAGAAACCCTTTCCCCTTCATATACACACCTCATCTCACTTAGCCATACACAGGATCCATATTGTCGCACGTGCAGGGTCGCTGACCACCACACGTATATTGATATTGTCCTGCAAATCAGGATGTCCTGGGCCCTTGGTAAAAGATGTGAGCTACGGCACCCCACACAGACAGAGGCTTGGCTGTGAGAAGACCCAAGCTTTGAGGGATGACTCCCATCTTCCCTCGATAATGAATCTATGTTCTACTATAGCTGTATTTTGGACAACATTCATTTCATTTGAGATACAGTGATAATGAATCTATGTTCTATACACGGGAAGACATTAGTTATACGGGAAGGAGAAAGCGAAGCGGCCCCCCACTGCCGCCCTGGAAGTCCGGACTACTGGCATCGTACGGCTGCAGACACAGCTAGCTCGTCATGCCCAGCAGAAAATGCAGACACCCTCTCTAATGCGCAATTGGGCAATCTGATCAGTTGGGGCGTTCTTTAACTTCTTAAGCCTGATCGACGCTCTCCTCAATTGACTTTGGCAAGTTTGCATTGAGATCGACGCCAGGTAGCGGCACAACAGTCCTCTCCCCAACAACGATGATCCTTGTTATTGGTCACCGGGACCCGGGACTCGGGACCTGGTGGACCTGGGAATAGCCTCAGGGACCGAGAGAGCGAATACAGAAGCAACACGGAACTCGTCGGACCTCTAGGCCGCTACATGCCTTTGTTCGCCTTGAAGTGAAAGAGGGTGTCCCCCTTAGTCTGGCCCCACAGATAGCAGCGACCGACTCTGCATTAAGTACAAATAATCTCAGCCAGTCACTCCCTGCAAAGGTAGAGGAGCCCTCCCCTCTCAATGCCATGCCTTCCTGTGCTGTGATAGAGGGGTTGGCCGCTACATTAGAGGACGTCCAGGGGCAAAAAAATCCCCACATCATGTGCTCCTACCTCCGATTATCCCCAAGCAGCCTTGGACCTCGTTCTACCTCCGGTTATCCCAGAGCAGCCTTGGACCTGGTTGAATGAGGGAGGACAGGTACAGGTTCTTGAAGAGGAGGAGGGGGGGGGGGGGGGGGGGGGGRGGGAGAGACAGGAGGAGCAGTAGCCTGTAGGGCAGATACATGGACTTGGAAGTTGTTGGAACAACAGCCACAGGCAGCCACAGGCAGCCACAGGCAGCCACAGGCAGCCACAGGCCAATTGATGGATGCCCGGGGAAGATCCAGGGCAATGCACGGTTGAAAGACGAGGACGAGGATGATCGGGGGGCGCAATGCAAAGTGCCAAAGGCCAGATCACCAACATGAGAAAGAAATATAATGCGGCACAGCGGAAGACGCTAATCAGATAGGTTAGGACAACCATGCAGAAAAGCTGACCAGTCTGAAAAAAAAAAAAAAAAAAAAAAGTTGACCAGTCCCACACCACCCGTGGAGGGGCTCAAACATAGGAGAAGCTCCCGCTGCAGTCAAAGGAAGAAAGAAGAAGAAGAAGAAGAAGAAGAAGAAGAAGAAGAAGAAGACTCTCCTGCCCGGACTTAGAACCCACAACATAGTCATACACAGAACTGATAACAGACAAAATACACACGCCTGGACTTGGAACAGACAAGATAGTAAAATACTCTTTACCTTCCGGACGCAGAACGCCCGCCTCCAGTAGAGTTTATACCAAACCTATCGAGGATACTTTCCATATAGCTCATAGTTTGCAAAAGGCTATAGCTTTGTGGCTATAGCTTTGTACCCCACACACAGCCATACTGAAGCTAACACACAGAAAGTATAGAAACTTGTGGGGTAGATTTGGGACAAGTTTGGCATTGCTTTGGTACAGTTTTGGTATGCTTTCGAATGGCTTTTATAGAGCCCGGCACCGTATGGATGTGAAATGGATCTTCACATCACACTTGATGCCCCCGCAGGGACGACGGAAGAAGCAAACACTGCCCTTCTGGAAGATAGGGTACCATTGCAAGCACCACGACATCTTCGGGGATTCGCTTACGACTGACAGCTCAAGAAGACGGGGAAAGGAAATGAGAAGAGAAATTTGAAATTTCAGACGTGTGCTTGTGAACATCCGCAGAAGACGAGAATAACCACCGCCACATACCTTTGAGATGAGAACAAGATGATGCGCCGTCTTCGGGGTAAGGGAGAGAAGGGAGAGAGAAGGGAGGAGCCCCTCACCTGGATCTGGGTTTCAAACTTTGAACTTCTTGTCAAGAACATAATACATCAAGCGCCTCGGAAAAAAAAAAAAAAAAAAAAAAAAAAAAAAAAAAAAAAAAAAAAAAAAAAAAAAAAAAAAAAAAAAAAAACCCCCGAAAAAAAAAAAAAAAAAAAAAAAAAAAAAAAAAAAAAAAAAAAAAAAAAAAAAAAGAAAAGAAAAGATCGACCATCAGCAGCCGACTCCTAAGTTCTAACCATAAACGCAAATCCACAAACTTTTTTTTTTTTTTTTTTTTTTTTTTTTTGGCCTCCAAATCTGTAAATGGCATGTCGAAACGCCACAGAAGCCAAGGTGCAGCAAAGCAGACCATCCCTTGGGGGATACATATACATCTAAAGCCCGCTAGGCACGGTTACATACAGGAAAACTCGTCACCGACATATGCAGACTTCCCTTTCCAGGTTTTCTCAAACCTGTGCCATTCATTACAAAAAAAAAAAAGAAGCAACAATGAACCTTAAAAATGACAAAAATATGGGGAGGGGGGGAAAACCCGGAAAAGACAATAAGAGTAAGAGAGCGGTTATTAACAAACGGCAAACGTTCAATGCAATCCAGAATGACGATACGGAGACGACGTCCTGCATGGCACCCACCCCTCCACAGTACCAGAGGATGCCAGTGAGTTAACCGTACTGTAGAACTGCCAGAGCAAAAAAATGCCGTAATAATCGGCGTAATTAGTAATTACTGCCTTCGAAAGATTTTCTTTTTGTTTTTGTCTTTTCGAGTAAGTTTTTTTCTTTGCCAAACATTTTCCAAGATTTGTCGACAACAAAAAGAGTCGGAATAGGCAACGTGTTTGCATTTAGAACCTCCCATCGCCAATCAACGAAAAGCGTAGGATAGGATAGGAATGGCTATGACACACCAGAGCTCCCGAAGAGTCGTCGCGACAGGCCCTCCACTGCGCTGGGTTCCGAACGAAACCCCTGCGAGGTTGCCATGAATGGAAACCCCCCGTCGCAAATGAGTCACAACTTCACAAGCAGGTGCCACTTCAGATTCCCGTCCTATATGCAGAGCACCTCCGATGCGGAAGAAATCTCACCAAAACAGAGTCCCCTTTGAATTGCATCTTGGACGACATGATCGAAGGACTTCCCAAGGACTGTCTAAATCCGATTATCTCCTTTCATGACAGGCTACGTATGGTTCCCGGAACGAGTTCGTCATTCGAGGTGGCTTTCATGCATGCTCCGCACATGAAATAAGTCGTGTGTCCGTCTCGTCTCGTCACATCACAGACATCTGCTACGTCCCACTTGATTGCACCGAAGTGCGCAATTCATTCATTCGGTGACTTGCACGGTCCCCCTCACGAAACCAACAAAACCAACAAGAAAGAATTCGAACCTTCTGTGGAAGAGTAGCAGCCAAGTCCAATGCAGTATGCACAGCAAGTAGTTCACGTACGTTCAATTCGGGATGACCCTGGTGGTCCATAGCACATACTCACTTGGAACTCCGGTTTCCCCGAATCGCCATATCTGAAACTCCAGGATCTCCGTCCTTTGCTAAAACACTCTTTTGAAAAAAGGCGCAGATCCATCTGCCGGCACACCCACAGCAAGAGGGATAACTATTAGATGTCCCGTTCTGCTTGCCGTTTATACCACTGCCTTCATGCGATCTCCACGGAGTCCCCAAGCATCACCATCACTTTATGTCCCAAAACGCACCCATTGGCAATGTCACAGACTGAACGAGGGTGCAGACCTCAGAAAAGCCAGAGGCGAGACCCAAACCTGCAGACGCATGCGGCATCATAGATATAATGAAACAAAGACAAAGGGTTTAGCATGGGTTTATCAAAGGCTAGCGGGGGTGGTCTAACAAAAAAGGCTAGCGTGGGCCAGCCGCCTAGCTCAGTTTGCAGAGCATGAAAGCTGCAAAAGGGTTTAGCATGGGTTTTATCAAAGGGTAGCGGGGGTGGTCTAACAAAAAAGGCTAGCGTGGACCAGCGGCCTAGCTCAGTTCGTAGAGCACGAAAGCGGCATTCACAAGCTCCTGGGTTCGATTCCCCACGTCTTCCATTCGAATCCCCACGGCCTCCTGCGGCACGTTGCGGGTTCACCTGCTGAGATAGTCAGCTTGCCCCCCCCTGGTTGGCCTTGGTAGCGGCTATTCCTTCCGTCTTTCCATCCTTCGCCAGGGTTTAGGACCAACCCAAGTGGAGTAAATAATAGCACAGAAAAAAAAAGAAATGGCTAGCGTGTGTCTAACAAAGGCTAGCTGTAGGGTGGGTCTAACAAAGCCTGGCATAGGAATGACCAATGCTACCTTCTTCCCCCGAATACAACGTACCGTCATTATAGCTATATATAGACTGAAAGATGCCCCAAATACAGCTATAATGACCGTACGTTCTATTCGGGTGAAGACGGTGGCGCGGGTCTAACAAACGCTAACATGGGTAAGCATCATACTTGCAAGCAGACGGACCGGATGAGCGTCCGGTCCGGTCCGCTTTGCCGCGTGCGCCACCCTCCCCCCGGACCGGACGGACCCGGACCGGACCGGACAGGGCCCTTTTTTTTTTTGGGGGGGGGGGKGGGCCGTAACTGGTCATCGGGCGCACATTCGTGCGCCGCGCGGTTCCCGTCCGGCGGTCTGCCGCGTGCGCCGCGCGGTTCCCGTCCGGCGGTCTGCCGCACGTGCGGAACTGCCCGGAAGGTGTCCGCTTGCAAGTATGGTAAGCATGATTACCATGCGTTTCATACTTTCCAAGGATGTCTTGTCTTCTAGTGGGTAGGCATGATTAGCATGTGTTTCATAGTTTCCAAGGATGTCTCGTCTTCTAGTGGGTGTCCGACCAAAGGAGGTGCTCTGATTTCTGTACGAAGGATTTAATCGGAACACTACGCGCCTTCCCCATGGGGTTCTAGAGTATCGTCAGAGACATTCGTTGAACCCAGAACTATAAAGGGTCACCCTATGCAAGGATGACATGGAAAAGACTTCACTGCATTTTTCATTCCACTGTGTGTGAGCCTCTACTCCTCCGTTCCAGTGTGACCTTGTTGTCCAGGCGTGGTGGAATAAGGATCACAGTGAAAGCTATTCCACGATGCAGACCGCTAATTCGAATCTCAGGGTCAAGTTCCCCAGGCTAAAAGTGGCCGAGTCGGCAGATTGAGAAAGGTTAAGTCGCGTGGCCGAGTCGGCAGATTCAGAAAGGTTAAGTCGGGTGCCCCACAGGTCAAGTCCAACAGGCACCCGATCAACAGTCACATCCCAGAGGCGAAGGTCGCATTCCATAAGAAGTCAGGTCTCACGGTGAAAGGTCACATCCCACAAGCAAAGGACACTTTCCAGGCAGAAATTGTGTCCCACAGGCAAGAGCCACATCTCGAAGTCAAAAGGCTATAATCTACAGGCAAAGGTCATGTCTCATGGATAGAGAATCGCATCCCACAGATGAAACGTCGTGAATCACAGGCCCGAGCAGCACAGCACACCAAGGGAAAATCAGGGAGGTACCAGGCCTCGACATTCTGAAGCAAACAGGCCATGGGCATGTGGTACCAGGTCCCAGTCAAGCCAAAGGAAGAAGAGGCTGGGACGAGTGAAAGCTCCAGTCCAAGTCAATATAAGGACTGACCAGCCACATTTGAGACAGATTGCTCATTCGTGAGAAGTGTGGAAGTGCTGCTGAAGCGCTTGTGCGCTATCTGCGAGTGGCATGCGCGGAAGCCCTGCTGGGCAGCGCTGTGCTGAGGAAGGGAGGCGGCCATAGCCGCTCAGCTAGTAACAGGAGGAAGACCTGAGTAGTGGTGGATGTATTCCGAGTCAATATCCTTAAGTAGAGAGAGTACGGGGAGAGAGAGGACTGGCCAGCCACATTTGAGAGAGATTGCTCATTCGTGAGAAGTGTGGAAGCGCTTGTGCGCTATCTGTGAGTGGCATGCGCGGAAGCCCTGCTGGGCAGCGCTGTGCTGAGGAAGGGAGGCGGCCATAGCCACTCAGCTAGTAATAGGAGGAAGACCTGAGTAGTGGTGGATGTATTCCGAGTCAAGAT